TTTTAGCTTCATTTACATCCTATGAAAACATCTTTAACTGTGACACTTTATGGAACTGTGGCTGTACCAGCCATATGCTTGGCTCTGAATCAGGGGTCAGAACCACTTCAGCGTATACAGGTTGACAATCTGTACCTCTTTATTAATACTACTTGGACTGGAGCTCAAGCTTCCAAACACCACAAGCTGCAACTCATTTAACTACAAGTAATCTATCAGCTCTAACCAGACTCCATGGAGTAATGACTAATTCTAGGATTTGGTGTTATCATGAGAAGATACGCGGCCCTGGTGTAACAGGATGAACCACAAGCAAAAGAGAAATTAATGAACAGTGATGATGCAGTTTATAAATATCAGCATTCAGAAGTCTCTCAAAAGCTTTAAAACATCAGAAATGTTCTATAACTAAACTTAAGATAAAGCTAAGATCAGAATACATGTCCCAGTGTATCCCTCCATTTCCTTCACACCCCACAGCTCTCATCTGCCATGTAACGAACAGCACATCTGAAGTCCTAGATCTTTCCCTTCAGCATGCTGGCTCTATTTCACTTGAGGTAGAGGGTGTCTGCACAATACCTCCTGATTGCTGAGGCAGGGAGTTATCAGAAAGATGCCAGAATTATGAACATGTACCAGACATTCACTCTCAGAGTAAGACAGTATATTCAGAAAGTTGGTACCTGGGGAAAACTGAAAGGGTGTGATACATAGTCAAGACCAAGAATGCTCTCATCAGCATTTCTTTCTCACAGTCTTCCTTTTGAACGCCCATTTGATTCAGCCAAAGGATACTGATTTAGTATTTACTCTCCAATATCTACAGAAATAATATTTTTTTGGCAGCTAGTAGATGCATATATATATTTCATGTACATGAAATGTTTTCTTATAGTTAAATTATTGTTGCCATCAAATTACAAAAGATGGCTCCACAAGACATTATTTAAAAAGCATATAGAAAATAGGCATAATTCCTACAGAAAATAATATATAACATTAAAAAGTTGCCACAATGAATGACAAGCACATATCTTGAAGGGTTGTTTTTTGTTTTGTTTTTTTTTTTCCACAAGGCCACAGGTTATTTTTCCTATCTATACCACAGAAAGATAAGAAATTATAAAACCTGACTTTCATTCCTCCAAGAGAGCACACAGGTTTTGTCTCAAATTCATCACTGCCAGTCAGCTGGAAAAATAGGATGACTTTGAAATTCTGTTTTTCCCTAAGTCTGCATCATAAACATGCTTATTTATGCCCAAGAGCAATTTAAGTGTATAATTTGTTATTTTTTTATGGTTCTTCCTCTCAACAACATGATTTTTCTCTACAATAAGGGTGTCAGATGATTTGAACTATCACAATTTGAGAGTGACCGCATGGATTCAAGCTAATGCAGTTAATAAAGTTTAAAAATCCAGTAAAAACACTTTTAAAATTTTATTTTCAAAACCAAAAGCAACCTCCTAAAAGCTGTTTTCATCATTGCACCAACCTTCAGTTTTCTAAGGTAAATGAAACTTAGAAAGTAGTGTGCTGTATTTTCTCACTTGAATTATATTTATAGACTTTCAGGCAGAGGGTAAGATTGCCCCCTTTTGGAATTTTTAAGTGTAACAGTCCAAATAAAGAATTAGGTGGAAAGCATTCCTAAACCCTACTCAAGATATACATCCCATCAAGGATCATTTGTGCTTCATATTGTTGTGCTCTACTGTTATTATATATGTGGCTTCACATTCCTTATTAAAGCAATAGACATGAAAGAATTCAACTGCTCTTGCCAGCAGCCACAAAAGCACAATATCTATAGTCAGATAAAGGTAAACGTATGGAACCTTCCAAAGAATGCTGTAGTAAAGGTGGAACGTGACTGCATTCTCCCTTTCTCTGCTCTGTAGGACAGACTTCACAAACAGTAATCTGTAATTACAGTGTACCATAAAGTAGCATTGTCTGATAAAAACAAGGACTCCTCAGTGACCTGACCAGGACTGTGCAATCAGGAGTCAGTTCTTATAGAAGGAAAACAAGAGCTATGATACAGCTTTAAGGAAACAGATGAACCAGTGGATGTCTTTTAATGGCATTATTGCTCTTTAGGTGGAAAAAATGCACATAATTAAAGTTATTTTTATTTTATTTCAGGACTAAGTCTGGAGCCTCAATCCTCTTGAGATGCACTGAAACACCTGCGATACACATACCCTCTGCTGTTGTCTCAAGACCAGCAAGTAATCCTACGTAAACAATTCCTGGTTTATGCATTGACATTTTTCTTTCTCAATTATTTCCACCAGTGTCTTCTCTGTCCTTTTCAGCATGTATGTTCTTAAGGTTCAGTGGACAAGACTACACTTAAACCTCCCCACATGTATTTTTAGCTATATTAATGAAGGCTAGCTTTATTGAAGAGCTTCAGCCTACATAACTGAACAAACTTTTAGGCAAATGTTTGGGGGTAAGCTCATTGACAGTCACTGTTTTCAAGGCTAGAGTAATAGTTATTTCCCAGGAATTATATATGTAAATCTCTTCCAATTAACAAAGCCCATTCATTTTCATAGGAGCCTGGTGGCCCAGAATTGGTAGTTTGATCTGAATAAGTATATTGGTATGGTTTCAGCTAGAAATAATTTCTCAAGTGGTTCAATGGCTATATTACAAGAAGAAACATGGAGACCAGTTGATAGACTGATGTAAACCAGCAATAAAATAGAAATCAGAGAGTATTACGGAGGCTACACTGATCTGTCTCATCATAGCTGAAACAAGACATTTGTTCAAGCAAACTAAGAACAGGCAGGCAGTACACCACAGCAGACATACAGGAAAACAGAATAGTTAAGCTGTGCAATTCTGCTGAAGAACTCATTGCTTAAACCCTGAATGCAATGTTAAGTAACACCATGATGTTCGTCTCAGCCCCAAGCTCTAAGGAATATTATATTTTGTTTTCCATTTTACTTCAATCAAAATTCTAACAGCAAAGGCTACTGGCTTTCAATAATTTAAGCGTAGTTCAGTGAACTAAACTGAGATTAGACAGTAATATTGGTTTATATGGAGCAGTACTGACGTTATACCCTGAGCACAATGCTGTGGAGCAGTGTTCGTGCGGATGTTATAAAAACATCACTGTGCAAAATAATTTCAGTGCAGGTGCCTCAGCAATAGGAAACATCACTTATAGTTAATTTTTTAAAAATTAAAAAAGACATCAGCTACATTTTTTCATGTCATTTATACTTTAATATTCTTAATCTCTTAGATATCAAACTTTAAAGAATGTGATGAAAGTGATCCTTATCACTTCCATACGCTTTCTCTTTGTGCTACAGTACATAGATTATCGCAACATTGAAGATAAGGTATTGTAAATTCCTGTTTTCATAAAAAAGCTGAAGTCCCAGCTTTACTGACTAAAACTCAGGGCAAAAATCACCATTACACAAAAAGCACCAAGTGTAACAAGATGAACCACAATGTAACTTTCCAGACTGTTCGCCCAACTTGTTTAATGCCCTGTGTGTTTCTGTTGAGGGAAAGTGAGAACTTAAGTTGAATTATGTCCTTGCTGCTTTTCAAATACTTTAAACAGTCATTTAAACTGCAGCCAGTGTGTCATGCATTCCAATACAGAATATAAGAACCTATGTATTTAGTGTCACTGTAAGACTTTTACCTAGAGTTTTCCTTCCAGTGCCATGAAGTTGATCATGAGGAAGGAATGCACTCTGATCATGCTCATTACCTTGCTAAATGTGACTTCTAAAGAGATCACTTCATGTGTCCTCAAGGATGCTGAAAAGTTATTTTATTAAGAGAAATGCTTGATTTCCTTTACTGACAAATTCATTGGACCAAAAGGCTGTCATTAATCTGTAGCTATCTTGATACCTATATATGGAAGAGGAATACTCCAGCAAGACATACATTCTTTATTTAATAACCACATTTTTTATTTTATAGTCACTAAAAATACTCTACAAGGATAAGGATAGGAGCAGGAGAAAATCCACTTATCCTTTCAGAAAGTTTAAATATGAATTTTATAGGGCATACTTTTATTACACATAAAAGGCTCTGGATCTCTATACTTAATTCCCTGATTTATTTTACCTCTTTGCTATTAAGAAAGGACATTAAGCAGCACTGCCAACTGATATATAGTTTTGCTCCTGATTTTAAAAATGCTTAAAAAAAGTGTTAGAGGCAATAAACTTTTCAGCTCCTTCCTTAAGCTAAGAGAAAAATCCTCATAGGTTTTACTATGGCTCAGAAATTTTTAGCATGTCCTCATCTTTGTCATGTTTTGATACAGATTCTTCTGATTCTGTCACCACATGCCTTATGGGTTGGGGACTCAACAGAGACAAATTCTTAATTCAGTTAATACACCAAAGTTTGAGTGGAAGGCTGGCCAAACATCCCCACTTTCTGCTACCATCAGGCCTTCTCTGCTAATTCTTCACTGGGATCTACATGAGAAACAAGTTCTACCTGCTCATAGGTTCTAATCAACTGTGCTCTTCATTCTCTTTCCACATTCTCAGGAAAGGTGGAGGCATCATACTTGAAACAAACACAGCACCACTGAATAGCAGTTGTCCCAAGAACAGCGTTATCTGTGGGACAGGTAGGAATTCTGTTTGCTTATTTGTTTAGATGGTAAAACTCTCCATCATTAGCAAATCTACTATGGAACCTTACTGAAGCATGTGACTGGGCTGATACAATGCAACAGAATCCGAGTATTCTTAACAGAGAACTATCTGAAAATACTTGAAAGACTGTGAGTGTAGGAGAGAATGCTTATTATGTGCTTCCATAATCACATATTTCATTCAAATTAGAATCTATTGAGTAAATCCCCAAGCAATCTATGAGTTCTGTAAAGCAATTCCCACACTCCACAATTGTTCTTCAGGCAACTAAAAGGCCATGCAGCATAGAAACAGCTGTAGGCTGCAGAATGTTCTCATCTGACCTACTGGGGAGTTTCCACTCTGCTTTTTTCAAAGTTCAAGACAGAGGATAGACTACTGGACTCACAAATACAGATAGATGTTGAATACTGTTGTAAGAGATATATTACAAAGATTCAAAGCAGTGTCTTTCATACAAAGCTTTATCTATTAAACATCAACTCAGGTATCTTGCCTGTATTTACAAATCCCAACCTTTTTTTCTAATACCACTTAAAAGAGGTATAACAGATTTGTAACAAGTCATATAATCAGCTAGGCCATTTGATAAGTAAATCTGGGTTGAAAAGCAGAAATTCTGTGTAAGTAGGAGGGGAACGTAGTAGAACACTGCATGCATTGTGATTATGAAGTACTCTGCACAGAAACATCAATTCTAAGGAATATATTTTCTGCTGGTGTAAGAAGTGCTCTGAAGTAATAATTTACACTCATAAATGCTAATTGAATACTAGGCCAAATATGTGGCAACTCGTTTGACACATAGCAAGTTTCTCTACATGCTTAGGGAACGCATCAATTTAAGGATGAAGAAGGCATGAAGAGTGTCAAGAAGACACTTCTTGACAAGCTAATTCCTTAGCTGGAAATTAATTTCCTAGAGTTATAACTGCACTAATAGGGAGTATTTATATTTTGCTCAGTGGCCAAAATCAAAATGAGAATTAGAGGTCAAATTTAATATTCTTATTAGAGGGGTTTGGTTTTAAATTAGTTTTTTAAACAGAGTTAATTTAGTCTCTGAACACTTTTTAAATAGCAGTCAAAGATTTCTGCTTAATTTCTTTGAATAAACTAAAGAGCAGTTCAGCACTGATTCAGAAATGGTTTCTGAATTTGTCTCAACCCCAAGCTCTAAGGAATATAATATTTTGTTAAAGCTGATAAAATGTTATTCACCTAAAAATAAAAAAATGCAAAAATGCAGTTCTAGGTATTTCAAAAAGAATAAATTTACAATCAGTATTTTCTGGTTGCCCTTTTCCTCTTCTCAGCCTTGGCCAGGCAGACATCAAAACAGTACTGGTTAGCCCTGAGCCACCCAAGTACTGGCATAAGAATGTCCCACCAAGTTTATTGAAAGTGTGGTCATTTATACCAGAAGTGTACACAAACACCTTCAGAAATATGATTATCTTGGGAACTGAAGTGACTTCACTGATGCTTAATCCTCGTTTTAAAAACAGTGCTTGGGAAATTGAATACTTTATATGGTAAATAGACTGATATTTTCATCAGAAAGTGCTGAGATTTTAATCTTTTCAAAGAGATTGAAACTTACTTCTTAGAGAGAGCCAATGAATTATAATATACATATGTATAACATACACTTTTTAATATATACATCAATCATATGTATATATTATGGGTAATTTTTAATAATAAAATTGAGAACATAATTAATTTGGCTGAATAAGGAGTCCTCAATTTATTCTAAAAATGCAGAAAATACTTGTAAAATCCTAGATTTATAACATCTAATATCATCTCCTAACACTACACTAGGGAAGCTCTACGAATAATAAAGTCAAGAATTGCAAGAGAGCCTGTGGAGATTAGCAGTAAAGTTTTAACCTCAATCAGCAAATGTTCATAAAGACAGTGTAATTGGGCATCACACTGAAAACAAAAGTAATGGGTATGAATTCTTCAGTGATTTACAGTGATTTGTAGTGATTTATCTGCCCTTCTGTAATAGTATGGATGGAGCTCAATACAAAGTTTTAAGTATGTTCTGTGAAGACTTCCCTTGTCATAAGCTCAGAAGCGTTAAGCTATCTTTAAGAAAAGAAACCAGTACCACTCCATTGTGTATGTGGAAAAATGTACAGACAAGAATGGCATGCTACTTCCAAGACAGTCAATTAAACTGTAACATGCATGTTCACTCCAAATTTCTTCCACCAGAAGGAACTGTCTCCATGAGACTGTTTAGCTATACAAATCACTATTTATCTAGAGCCTCTGACAAGAGGCAGTCAAATCAAATTCTTCCAGTGGAGATACACTCATGCTAAGTTATAGCACTGTTTTACACTTCAAAAAGGCATCATAATCAGTTTATGAAACATGTAAAAAATCTAGGCTGGTGCAGTGCCACAGTTCTCCATAAATGTTCTAAAAATGAAAAGTGCTGTTGCTATAGCAGGCTTGTGAGCTTTGAATTCGTTGCTAATGAGTATTGCTTGGAAAACATACTGAGAAATAACTGTAGATTAATGTCATGTTTCAGAAAACCCAAATGATCCTTTTTTATTCCATTTGTCATGGCATCTGAGTTTGGTAGCACAATGCAGAGCTCCTTGAACTCCCATTGGCTGGAGTCGATTTCTCCCATTCAAAACTGGTCCCATAAAGTTTCTGGTAATGCCAAAATGTACTTCTTCTTTAGCCTTCAGAAACAAACACACACACACCTTTTTGCTGAGAATCAAAGGAAACAAGAACTTTTCATAAAAAAACAGTTTGTCTCAGACTGTCACAAACCACAAACTCTATGCTTACTCACTCCAGGCTGCCAGTTTCTAGCACTGGGTTTGCTCATGTGTAAGTGCAGGTAAGTTATTGCTATGAACATCCTCCCATAAACTGACTCTTGAAGAAAACAGCAGAAATGCAAACAGTTCCATAAATAGAAATTATAAACACCCAGTCTCAAATATAATTACTTGTTCATAACTATTGCCCATTAAAAGGTATAGACCACACATCAAAGTACTATACTTGGAATAAATATCTGCATATACTTGGAAGGCAAAAACAAAAGTGTTTTCTCCCCTACAAATATTTGAAATTCCATTCTTCATATAAAACATTCCACATATTTAGAGAACAGAAAGATATAATCTGCTTATGCGTCACATTAAAGGAAATGCAATTTTCATTCTTCAAAGATGAAAAATTGTTTCCAGAAATGCATGTAATAATATGCTCATCAGATAAGTGAACTTTATCAGAAATGATTTGAAAATACTTACATACAGTGGCTCCAGTTTGCTTTCTCCCTCACCAGATTACTCTATTTTTACTTCTGCTGTTATTTAAGCCTCAGCTGAAACAAACCGTCTTTGACAGGAATGCATTTCTTCAGAGCTGCTTTGCCTGTCTGCAGTTCCCCAGATGAACACTGTTCCAATAATTCATATTACTATTGGAGTTCTGCTGCTCCCCTAACACAGGCAGCACGTCTGCTCTGTCATCTCCCACTTACTGAGCATTTGCAGGAAAGAAACAATAGATGAGAAACTGACAATTGATAGTATCCAACTACTCAAGGCAAAGCAACCTGAGACCACAAAGTAACACTTTAGACTGTAATGGTATACTATGGTAGGTCAGCTGTCCTCTGGTGGCATTTGAACCCCCAGAAAAACTGTAAAATACTGCTAATATAAATCTAGGGGCACAACAACACAGGAAAAGGATTTTAAATAATTGGTATCATGAGTATCACAGGATTCAAAAGGTGGATGTCCCTTTAAAATTATACTATGTCTTAATAAAAGGAAAAATTCTCAAATTCTCCTTAGCAGGAGAAAAGCAAAGTCTGAAATAATTCTGATAGATAGTAGGTTCCACTTCAGTAAGTTAAATACGTTATGGATGTTAGCACCATAAAGCTGACAATTATATTGCATGAGGATCAGAAGCAATGTAAGTATTTATATAATTTACATAATAAACCTTCAGTTTAGAAGAAATAACAGGATACAATGTTAGTATTCTGATAAAGAGCCATCTTTTTAATACAGCTTGCAAAATTCATTCTGGTTTATGAGACCTTAATTACAATAACTTCTGCGCTGAAACAAGCGAACAGATGAATTGTAACAATCTTCAAGGCAAGATATCCATCAAAAAAACCAAGAAGTCTCTACAACACTTAGTCATATGAATCAATAATAATTCTCACAAGCTTACTAACTAAAACAGTGGTAAATTGCATTCTATGTAAAGGAGTTCCTAGAAAGTTTGTCAGGCAGCTGAGATTGAGAGAATGTTTGAATTAGATGGATATTTCAAATAAGAATTTAAATCTCAATTAGAAAGTAATCAATGCACTAACATCTATTAATAACCACAAAAACTGCTGGAAGAGGCAGTTCAGTTACTACCTTTTTAGAGTTCAGTAAAAGTAACTTTTATAGACAGGAGTAAACATTTTTAACACTTACTTTACAGCCTCCACTGGGATGGTATATACTGCTGCCAACTCAGCACCACTTCCTGACACTAAGTGAAGAAAGAAAGAAATGTTAAACACAGTGGCAGAAGAAAAGTTTAAGTACCTTGATTCATTTTTCCAAACTGGAATCTGATTGCAATGCTTGGGACAGCACAGCTTTTATGAAAGGGCATTCCCTTTTTGAATTGCAGTCAATGAGGTGAGAATCCTGCCCCCCACTCTTTTGCAGAATACGCATTACCCGAATCTTGTCATTCGAAGCATTTCTATTCACTTCAATGATCACTTTGATATAGAAAGCACATAAGGATATAAATCCAACAATGTCATTAAATTCTTAATAAATTATTCCTACCTAATAGTCCCCCTTAGATCCCGTAAGTCCTTCAGGACATAAAGCAAAGGTATTACGGAGCCAGACTAGAACAACTTATTACCATGACTTCATTCACATGGCAGTGTTGGAGAGCAAGGAGACAAAATAATTACAGTCACAAGGCCTTCAGCATGACTTCTATGGACAAGACTAGCCAGGGAGGTGCTATTCTCACCCCACTGGCTAGGTAGTAAACTGGAGGAAAAGGGAAGAGAAAGCAACCTGGTGGAAATTTCTTTGTACCCCATTCCCTGAATGAAAGATCTTCTTGTGCACTCTAAAGAGAACCTGTTTTGTTGCAAATCTTTGTTCTTTTTACTTCATGAAGAGAACTGATAGAAGACAAACCATTTCATAACTTATGTAAAGAAAACCCTCCCACAGTTGAGCTATTTACAACCATTAATAGAACAGATCTTGGCACGCTAGAGATGCAGCATATATAGCTGAAAGAAGCAGTGGAACACCATGTCTTCTATTTCAGGTGGAAAGAAAAAAGCAAAGAGGAGACTGAAGTAGTTGCTACATGGAGACCTTTTCAGAATGAGGAATGAAGCAGGGTTTTGAGGCCACACCAAATTGTGCCCAAGGGCCAGAGTAAAGGTCTTTGTCATTACAGCTCATAGGAATTACAGTGGAATGGGTAATAAATGAAGCCTTGAGAGCCCCATTTGAAGCATTTTCCAACAACATCAGAAAATTCCCGAACTGTTCCCATGACCAAGGGCCATGCTGATGTCATCATACTGATGTCATCATTACACACAGGCTGAATGAAATGACTCATTTCTAAATTCACAAGGTTCTTGAGACTTTCAGCCAAAGCAGTTGAAAAATATTATATTATGATTATGATTTTAGCAATAGACTGCAGATAAGATTTTCATAAATGTCAGGTCTAACTCTCAGGAGTGATTCAAGCTCAGTCAGGTTTAAGCTTCTAAATCACTTCTGTGCATCTGAAATTTTTGCTTGAGATGAAGCCAGTTTAGGGAAGAATGTATAACCAAGCTTTTCTTAAACAAGCACTAAGTAATGGAACTTGTTAGAATATAACTAACAGAGATGTGAATATTACTTGTTGAAAAATTAGAAGGGACAGTCATGGCAGGATTTCCTATGACTTTAGGCAATCCTCAGAAGCAAAGGAATGACACTATTTTTAAAGCAGCTGTTGTGTATAATGTCTCCCTTCAGATTTCCATACTGCAGCAGGGACCCTCTGCTGACACGAGAAAATACTTGAGTCAGTATTTTCCTTCCCTTTCAGCTGACCTAAGCAGCTCCTAACACTTTCCAGGCTAAGATGACTTAGCGCTTCAGTTAGATAACATTTTTTTTCATTCCCTCCTAAAGTTCAAATAGCACACAAACAAAGTCTTTCACTGCTTTCAGGCTCAAACCTCAGCAGACCTCTTGCAGCTCCCTGGCAGCTCCCTGGCTTTCTGAAGCACCAGCAATTCGGCTTTACTGAGTAAGGCTCAGACTAGAGTGAGTCAGACATTGACATGCAAAGAAAGCAAACTCCTGCAGTGCCTACCATTATATAGGAAGACTCTGAAAGAGATTCTTCATTTCAGGCTCCCATGTCTTTGTCATCCATCAGTATTCCTAACCAAAGCTGAGTTTTCCCTTTTCAGACCTTTCCTGGAAGCCTACCAGCTGCAGCAAACAATCCAGAACTGCTTCACTTGATCCCGAAACAGACCCATTTGCCTTTTTCATTAATCCTGAAAGTCTAGTTTTTCAGGGGTCATTCAAACCCTGATTTTCTCAAAACATTAGCAAAATTGTTGTCAGATTAAGGAGACACTAAACCTATGATATAAAAGCAAAGTGAACATTCACCATTTTCTGAGCTGCTGTACATGCCCAGATGAAGACAGAAAGTTCTGCCAGGGTTTTGGTAGGTCCCTGGTCTCAATCAGTCCCCATAGAGATTCTTTCGCAGATTCAAAGGGGAATTAGTGAAATACATCTGTATATGGAGCACGTTTATATCACCAATTCCAACAGGGTCCCACAAACCTCCTCATTTTTGCAAAGGAGAATGCACTCCACTGAATACCAGCAGCACCACTTTATTCAAGAGTGTACCAGCAACTTTATGAAATCACAAATCAATCCAACTGGTATATTTTCCCTGTCAATAATAGCAACACTGACTTTCGTTTGGAATATGTAACCTTTTCATTTCACAGCCAGAATAATTCTGCTCCACAGGTAGGGAAATCAAGTCACAAAGTACTGACTAAGTAAGAGTACCCAGCAGCTCAATATCTTAAGGCAGGTTTCAAACCTAAATATTGGATGTTAGCACCCAATTTCTTACTTAACCAGCCTGTCCAGACAGCTAACAGTGTTCCACATCCCAATGTCAGTTACAACTTCATCTTCAGTGGGCAAGTTCAAACCTCCAGCAGCCAATAGCTGTGTGTACCTTCTGCATGTACTTTTACTGACTCTGAATTATTAACTCTGCTGGAGCATCTGATCAGTGCTAGCTATTTTTGGCTGGTATTCACAGCTCCAATTGAGTAGACTCTGGCGAGTATACCTGGCAACACTGGCTCAGAACAAGGCTGACACAGACACACAACACAAACAGGAAGAAACCGAGAGAGAGTCTGGGTGTTATTGATATAAGATTGTATTTTTACTAGGCTAATAAATACTGTGTCTGCTCATTCCTGTAGGTGTGTGGAAATCTCATTTCACAATGTCACATTCCTGAAGAGCACAGTTGGCATAATCTAGGTAATGTATTTTAAATACTACATGCATTACCTTGTCATTTTATAAATTAGACTTCAGAAAAAATAGGGAAAGGTAATCCCATGGAAAGCCACTATCTTCCCTTCTGCTGCTGGTTTAGCCACCGTCATTCCTATCTAGCCAGCCTAATTGCTTTGTTTTTGTGGGCTCTTGGGGAATAACATTACTACAAGTTTGGAAAAAATAACAACATTGACTGTGCTGACTTTTGATCAATCACCACCTAGCCAGGAAAGTCAGACCTATTAAGTGTCCTTTCTTTGCCAAAGATTAATGAGCCAAAATAAGTACCAGAGGCTGGAACCAGCTCTGTCTCAACTGTATTCAATGGCACAGTCACACTGGAAGATGAGGAAAAGGAAAAAAGAAGTGAAAGAAAACAAAGATTAGTAATATTTGCAGCATTATTTTTCTTCTTCATTATTAAGTATGAGCAACTACTAGAATCATCTGAAACTTATGGTGACCACAGTGTAGATAGGTGATTTTAGATTTTTTCAAACAAAATTTCAAGCAGCTTCAAAATTAGGAAAGAACAATAAATAGCTCTTCTTGTTCAGCATTTCATAGACACATGGAGTTGAACAGAATCAGAGTTCCAAAAACCAGCACAGAGTTCTGAAACAGCACAAATCAACTCTTAGTTTCCCTTTGAGTCTTCCATTTTGTAGATCCTAGTGAATTTTCATGAGACTGCTGTTGCCCAGGAGCTTTCCCCAGCTTAAGCTGTTTGGTACAATACTGCTCTGAAAGTTCCAGCTTCAGATCAAACCCCTGCTTGCTTGTTTTAAATTTAGGATCACTTCAACCACATTAAAACTTGGATCTCTGTTATATTATTTACTATTATCAACTTTTAAAAGGTTCATTAACCTAA